CCTGAACTAGTCATTATAACAACATATGACATAATGGATACATCTATTTGACCTTTACTTATTAGACATAAACACCAGTTTGGGAGGATGTAAGTTTCCTTCATATATATTCCTTGTGCCTACTCCGATTACTTACCTAACTCTACTTTTGACTTTTCTTTGACTTCTTTCTCCTTCTTTTGCTTTCCCCCTCTCCTTGTATCTTACTTCTTTTGGGCTTTTCTTCTGATATTCACTACTTCATCCCTTAGACATAATAATTTGGAATACTCTGCACTTTAGTTATCGAATAAGATAGATCTTAATTTTGTTTAAACGTACTTCCTTTTATAATTTTCATATTAACTTTATTCTTTTATCGTATTTATAATTTTTATTTAATACATTTGCTATTCCCTATTCTAAAATTGATCTCTGACAAAGTCATTACTAATCTGTCTGGATCTCACTGCATCAGTTACCAATATTCTTCAAAATATCTGAAAGAAACAGCTGAAAGAAATTCATACAGGTTTGGAACAACTTGAGAGTGAGTAGATGATGACAGAATTGTCATTTTTGATTTAACTTTTTAAGATTTCTACAAAAATGCTTACCTCAAGCAAATGTAAACAAAAAACACTCATATAGCAACAGTAAGAGAAAAAGAAAGTAGCTGTCGAAGTTGCAAAGAAAACGGTGACCAAGGAGAAAAGCTGTGTTGTCAGGCAATTGCTATGGACTGCAAAAAATGGCTGTTTTAACGCAGACTTGAGTGAGTCCTTTTGTCAGCCAGCACATTCCAGCAGCTCGTCAGAGTTTCTCACTGCCTGTCTGTTCAGCTCTCTTCAGCATCCCAGAATCACTCAGATGTGCAGATATGGCAAACATTTGCATGGTCACAGTACTTCCAATGGCTTTTTTTGATTGTGTGGTCTTGTCATAGCCATACACGGCTCCCTATCTAGTGCATGCTCTCTTAGCCAGCTCTTTTCTGTTTTAAATTGTCTTTCAGTGCACCTTTCTTCTCTATTTTCCTTTTCAAGTCCTAATGTGCTTTCAAGTGATGAGTGAACCACTTTTGCTCCTGCCTCTATTTTTCTGACCCTTGTCCATGTGCAGTATGTTCTCCATAATGTCAGCTCTGAATGGTGCACTGGTCTCCAAAGCATGGGGGGGGGGACTTCACCGCACCTTTGATGCTCCAAGCAAAAGGTTTGAATGCTTTTTCCTGAACAATGGCGTGGAAGCCTGACAAAGCCGCGGGTGCAGGGCAACCTGAGTAACCCTACTTCACCTTCCTATTCATCATTCACGTCCCTCATCTGTCCACCAAATTAAATATGGTCCACAAAATGGACAAGGGAATGTCCCCTCCGGTGTTATGGGGACGGAGGAGACTGCGGGACGCAGACGATGTGTCTCGTGAGTAAGGCTGGGCATTAACATATTCGCTTCAGGCTGCAGAACAGGTGGATGAGGGAAGAATGGGAATGAGAATGAGCGAGGGATGGCATTCGAGCCATTTGATTGGCTGCGGAGGATGATGTGAGCTCATTGCTCTCAAGGGCCTGATTATCCACTTTAAACTTATTTCAAGCATATTTGTGTGTCTTTGAGGAGATGTCTCAAGTTATCAGACTCACAATCCAAAGTGACATCACCGTTGAGAGGCCATGCTGCACAGCAACAATACATTGTATGGATCAAAATTATCGATTTTTCTTTTATGCCAAAAATCATTAGGATATTAAGTAAAGGTCATGTTCCATGAAGATATTTTGTAAATTTCCTACCGTAACTATATCAAATATATTTTTGATTAGTAATATGAATTGCTAAGAACATAATTTGGACAACTTTAAAGGCGATTTTCTGTATATATATATATAAAGCTATATATATATATATATTTCAGATGATGTATAATTCTCAAAAAATGTTCCCTTATGTCTGGTTTTGTGGTCCAGGGTCACATTTATTTTGTGGCATTAAATACATTCATAGTTTTTAAAAAGATTTATATTTCAAATAAATACTATTATTTATTCATCAAAGAATCCTAAAAATGCATCATATTATTGAAATAGTATTATAAAATATAAATCAGCATAATACAATTTCTGAAAGATTTTATTTAAAAAATAAATTACATTTAATTACAATAAACTGCATTTTAACATATAATAGAAATTATGATTCTTTTGAATCATAATATTTCACAATGTTCTTGTAATCAAATAGCCTGAAATTGGGATTAAGATACTTATTCATTTTTAATGAATTTTTCTTTAATATTTATATTTTACTGGATACATTTTTCTGTAAAGGTTGTGCTATATGTTGAATATTGTCACTTTTCTGTGGGTTATATTGACTTGTCAGCCATGCCTAAATTAATAATATAGCACAGCCTCTTGAAATATTTATTGAGAAGCACATCTGCATCTTTATTCAAAGGTGTCCCAGATAAAGTGATGCAGATAAAGTGACCTTTACACTATAAAGTGTAAAGGTCAAAAACAGTCAAAGATTTGAATTCCGCCTGCTAATTATAAAATGAGTCGGCTAACACAGCTGATCGCGACATGTAATGGAGTCTTGATTGATCGTAGCTCGCTTGAAGGGCGGATATTGGGTCGTGTAGTGGAAAGGCACAGTGAGCTCTCGGCATAAGCCCATTCGCAGGGCCAGATATGACACACTTTATCCTCTGAGCCATTTTTGATTAAAGCAGGATGATGATCATCATCTTCATCTCTCTTTGTCTCTCATTGACTCTCACCCTGACGGCGCTCCCATGAGCTGAACATAATGTGAGATTACTTCAAACATTAAGCTAAAAAAAAAAAAAAAAAAAAAAAAATATATATATATATATATAATAATCAGGCCCGTTGTACCTCCATCCTAATGCGTAGATAAGATGGTTGCGGCTTGGCTTAAAAACCCATAAGAGGCTTTGAATTGTCCTTGTTGAAGGGATCTGACATCTACCTGTTTACTTAGAGACGCAAGCTGGCATCCAGTCGTGCTCCGTCGCGTCATCGCACATTGACATCTGCTCGAGCAGGCAGGGTGAAATACGCACGCTGTGGGCCTCGAATCGAAACGTTTAAGTCTAACCAAACGTTGGCACACAAATGTAATCGTGTGCTACTTTGCGTCTGCGGTTTCGGTTTTTCATTTGTTCCGGAGGTCACACGCTGCGCTCGGAGACGGGCCTCGCCTCGCATCCGCGTCTCAGACACCCTCTCCCGCGCAGATGCGAGTGTGAACCTGGGGCCAGTTCTTGTTGCGCCGGTCAATTGGAGAATCTTTTATTTGGATACACTTATCGTTCCTATTTCCTAACCTGATTGAGGCTTAAAAGCCAAAGCAGCTCAGATCGTGCCAGAATAAATCTCCTTGCCCATTAATCTGTCGCCGGGTCCTCTCCCTCTCAAAATTGTTGCATTGCGGCAGGATTTATGAGGAAATTAAATGTATGATATCCAAGCCTCCTCTTACGGCGCTCCGCGCTCGGCGACAGGGCATTTCTGTCCTCCTCTGTTGATTACAGTGAAATCAGCGCGAGAGTGGCGCATCGGAGGAAGCTACATTCCCACAATTAGGTCACAGCGGCGGGCCACGGGAACATATTCTAGCGGTGGGCCTCTCTCATTTGTCTTTCCCTGCCCTGTGCCCCCGCGCCGAGCAACACACCAAATTGTATCCGTGGGTTCGGATCGGAAAGAGTAAGGAGATGAAAAGGCAATTTCCATCTGCTAGTTAAAGCTCCTCAGTTCCTTTCTCTGGGTCTGAGTGCTGCATTATTGCCCATAGTCTGTGCTCCAGGGGGTTAAATGAAACACTTCACCTCAGTTATACTTAACAATTATGTGCCAGTGGACACTACGCGGTGTTATTCAACAAGATGAGGTGTAAATGCTGAGTGATGATGCATTATAGCTACTGTACGATCATAAAGAAGAGCAAAATGTCATTTTCCAGCAGGCCAAAACACACCCGTTCTTAAATTCAGATCGTTGTAAAGATATAAAAGCATTTTCAAACTCATCCTTTTTTTTACACAGAAATATTAAGCAACGCAGCTGTAGATAATTAGTAAGAAATGTGAGTTTAGCAACAAACCAGTTCTTTAAAATTATTCCAGAACATATTCTGCAGTAATGGCTGCTGAAAATTCATTTTTTTTCCATCAAAGGAATAAATTACATTTTAAAATATATTAAGATAGAAAACCGTTATTTTAAATTGTAATAGAATTTCAAAATATTACTGTATTTTTGATTAAATAAATGCAACCTTGGTGAGCATAAGAGACTTCTTTCAGATCATAATAAAATTCAATTAAATGACATTTGTCATCTTCCTTGGGACTCTTTCTTTATATATAAATGTATAGAATGTTGGAATTTGTTAGTGATACTAAAATACAGTTTTTGCTTTGTCTAGTAATTCTTGTTTGGTATCTAAAACCACCTGATCATTTCAAATCACATCTAGGTTGTTTTTCTCATCTTTGATGACTTGTTTTCAAGCAATCTATGTTCCAATTAAGATATTCCATCTTCATTTAATATGCCACGGGAATAATATCTAATCCCTTGAATCTATACTTACTGTCTTGAAGACCAGACTGATTTGTTTTGCAAATCTTACATGGAAAATGTTAATCTGGTTGAGAAGATCTGCCTTGGGACTGGTCTGTGTCATCTTTGGTCAGTCAATCTCCTTCTGTCCTGCAATATAGGCACTGAAGATGAGCTATGACTTAATCCCAAAATGGTAATCTCAGACTTTTTTCTTTTTGGTGGAAGTGGGTGGGTCTGGGGAGAGGTGGTTGAAGTATTGAGTGCTTTACTGTAAGTACCGAATGAAGCCTGTGCTGTATGCAGGTGTTGCTTTTGAGTGGGTGTAACTTTATTTATAACCAATAAAACATTGTGACCTTTATTGTTACTCATTTAAGAGCAAAAAAGTTTTGAGTTTGAATTCTTTTATTTTTATAAGCCTAGATTCTTGCATTCCAACTGTGGGTGTACATAAGGCTGACGCAAGATGAATCCACCGGTTACTTTCCACAAAATCAAAAGCTTTCGGATAAGATATCTGACAATTGGGACATGCAGCTACTGCACAAAGGGGAATATAAAGCGCTGTATACACAAAACAACAATGGCAATGATGAAAACCTGCAAGCATTTGGAGGCTATCCGAAAAGAAGGATCAGAAATGCTTTGTTGCAAAGAAACAAAAAGGATACAAACAAAAAGCCTCCTTGTGATCCCACCCCCAAAATACAGAATAAATATATTTTAGATTTTTTTTTTTTAATTATGCATGGCTTAAAAACATAAAAAAGTATTGACGTCAGTTTAAGTATATCACAAATAAGCAATGGGAATATATTGCGTCTCTAAAATACAGCTACAAACATATCACCATAACTAACTCGTTAAAAAAGGTGTCTCAAAACATTTTGGATTTTTGACATGTTGTTGAAGTCAGCTGAATATATAAACATCTGAACAAGTTAATACAATCATGTCAGTTGGCCTACACTCCAAAAGAAACAAGGTCTATGCAAAGTTATGTACCATTAATGTATTTACAATACATTGAAGCAGCGCCATACGGATTTGCATTGAACAGGGACACGACAAGCATTATTCCTTACCATCTCACACAACATATTTTACAAATGATACTCCATATTGCTTATAAACATTTAGAAATGAATTTCAGACATTTCACTTATTTTCCCCCCCAGAAAAACATCAAACTGTGTCAATTAATTTTAAGTTCGGTTAATATACTCTTTTGTTTTTGTCATCTGAATTGAGATTTGTATTTTTTAGTTTAATTTGAATTGAAGTTGGTCCCTTATTTGTCATAGAACATGACGTTAACATCCAGACATGTACAAGCGATGGACAGTGGTGTACATGCATCATTTTAGGCCACAATAAACGTGTCTAACCGAATTGCCCACACCTAATTGTCTCCAGCAGGATCTAGTCATCTTCCTCATCGCTGTCCTTCATGGATATTCCTTGCATCCCTCCCTCTCTTACAGATGCTGTAGCCTCTTCTAGAATCAGCCTGTTTCTCACCGTCTCATACATCTTGCTGTTCAGAGTGGAGTCCAACACACCTTGTAGTCGGAAATCACGATACTTTTTCTGCAAAAAAACAAAAAAACTGAGTATCGTAGGAATAGATATAGGGCATGAAGCGGAATGACATGAAGTGGATCTAGCGTGCATGCTTAGTTATATAATCACGGAAGAAAAAAACATTTTTGTCTCTTTTCATGAATATGGGTACAGAACTTTGATGTCCCATTAGATTTGAAGCAGTAAGCATGTTTGTTTTGTATATGTACACCCTATTAAACTATAATCTTAACTTTGCATTAAAATAGTTTATAGTTTATTGCATAAAATATAGTTTAAATATACATTTAAACAATCGCCAAGCATAACCTTCAACCCTATTACTACTGTTATTGGAAGAAAAAAAGATCAAAGAGATATTTTATTCAGTTATTTAAAAATATACACTATGGTTCAAATCTTATATTCACCAAGGCTGCATTTATTTGATCAAAATCAGTAAAAATATTATTACTATTTAAATAGTTGTTTTCAATTGGAATATACCGTAAAATGTAATTTAAATCTATGATGGCACAGCTGAATTTTCAGCACCATTACTACAGTCTTCAGTGTCACACGATCCTTCAGAAATCATTCTAATATGCTGATGTGTTGCTCAAAATACATTTCTTATCAATGTTGAAAAAAGTAGTTCTGCTAATTTTTTTCTAGGTTTCTTTGAAATAGTCTCTTGTAATATAAAAAATTTCTTTACTGTCTTTTGATCAATTGAATACGTTCTTGCTGAATAAAAGTATTAATTTCTTTAAAAAAAAATAATTACTAACCCCAAGCTAGTTCTATTGAGTGAAAAATAAACCTGCAGCCCTGTTGCCTATAGGTTTCATTTCATCTTTTCAATATTTGTATTAAATTCTTATTCATAAATTTCTTTACTGTCTTTTGATCAATTGAATACGTTCTTGCTGAATAAAAGTATTAATTTCTTTAAAAAAAAAATAATTACTAACCCCAAGCTAGTTCTATTGAGTGAAAAATAAACCTGCAGCCCTGTTGCCTATAGGTTTCATTTCATCTTTTCAATATTTGTATTAAATTCTTATTCATAAAAAAAAAAACATGCACATGCATGTCACTGATTTTGGTAACAGATATTGTACTCTATTTGTGGAAAGTTGCATCTAGCTGTTATTTTGGTTTTGTTGGAAATTGTTGATGAGGGAAACATGCCAATGAGGTCTTCTTTATCCAGTACTAAACCTAATCTATGCTGGGGAAAATGAAGGGAAAAAATCTGATATAGATCTAAAAAGAAACCTGCATCTGTGAGATATATCCACACACAGAGAGAGAGACACCATATGAGTGCACAGAAATAAATGTGTAATGTCATACTATGAAATCCTGTTGATCTTGCTGTTGTAAAAAATTAAGCACAGGCTGAGGCTGCAGAGGAAGACCGCCTTCACTTGGCTGATCCACCTCTGTAATCTGAATCTGACTGGATGGCATGTGCATATTTTTATAGCATGTGTTTACAAGTACATTTGGTGCAAATACTGTGCTACGATTACTTCCTGCACATACTTGGGAAGTTTTGAATCTACAACTGTTCTGCGTTTAATTCAGATGCACAACCACCCACACTTTAGAGGTCAATGATGCTGTTGTTTTTACCTTTATAATTCTGATGAGGATTTTCAGCTGATACACATGCAACTGCAGGTCCATACGGTCTGTCAGCCAGGTGCCCAGGAGATTCATTGTGCTGGTGTACCATTGCTGAAACACAAATACATTGTTCTCCAGCAAAGACAGACACACATATAAATGCTGCCACACACAAACACATAAGAAAACACATCTACAAAAACACAAGTGTAGGCAGTATATTTGTATCAAGAGAGCAGATTATGTGAATGAAAATCCTTTTAGTACAAGATCTAAACATACCAATCTGATCTAGCACAATTTTAAATCAGCAATGACAAAGATAGACAACCCATACACTATACCAGTCAAAAGTTTGGTATAATTAAGATTTTGGGCTCAATAAACGTATGCATTATCACAGTTTTTTCTGCTTTATATTTTTGTGGAAACTGTGATACATCCACCTTCAAACGTTTGGGGTAAATAGGATTAAAAAATCAAATAAAATAATTTAATACTTTTATTCAGCAAGGACAAATTAAAATTATCAAAAGTGACAGTACAGACATTTATAATGTTACAACAGATTTCTATTTCAAGTAAATGCCGACCTTTTGAATTTTCTATTCATCGAAGAATCCTAGGGAAAAAATGCATGATGGTTTTCACAAATATACTGAACTGCAAACAAAACCTGCTTTCAACATTGATAATAATAAGAAATGTTTCTTGAGCATCAAATTGGCATATTATAATGATTTCTGAAGGATCATGTGACACTGAAGTAAATAAATTATATTTTAAAATATATTCAAATATAGAACAGCTGTTTTAAATCATAATAATATTTCACTATATTACTGTTTTTACTGTATTTTAAAATCAAATGAATGCAGCATTGGTGAGCACAAGTGACTTCTTTCAAAAACATTCATTACAAAAATACCCAAAATCCTAATTATTCACTTTTGACCGGTAGGAGTTTTCTTCTACTAAATTTGGCATCAAGTAGTTTCACTTGTAGAGGGATATGGAGGAAAATGACTGGCAGAACAGAGCTTAAAGAGGCACTGCGAGCAAACTGGTGACATTACAAGGAGGGCTGTTCATAAAAGAGGTCCCAACAAGCTCTGCCTTGGAGAAAGTCCTTCTGTCACAGTCATGATCCTCACCCAAAAGCTCCACCCAGGAACTGCTAATTGACAGTTTCGGATCCCATCAGCTGTCTCCTGTGCTGCTTTTGGACACTGATCATGAGAGATGTTGCCCATGTTAAGCCAGCCACAATCCTGCCCTCAGCCTGCGCTTCAGACGGTGGCACTTTCTGTCACATTGAGGGAGAAACATCCATCATTCCCAGCGGACATGTTGTCTTTACCGCAGTCACAATGAGCTCACTAATGTACCCGTGGCTCAGGGTCTTATTTTTTACGAGACTTCCTCTCTCTTAGTCTCAGAGAGTTGTTCTCTATTTCTACTCAGTGAAAATCACTGAACTCAAAGCACCTCCTAAATAACCGGTGCACTTAGCTTTTGGGCTACAGATGTTGGACCGTGGGGAAGATCTCGTTTGAAGTCTAATTGATTAGTTATGATCGAGCTGGTCTGATGGTAATCAGAGCTGACTGAGTCTCAATGGTTTAGGAGCTGAGCAAATCGAGCCGGAGACACAGGAGATGTGTCTTGGGTAACTGCAGCACACTTGACAGTTTACTTTTTATAGATCTTGCATGCAAAATCCACTTTGCACCCACAGTTTGAAAAAGCATTACGGTTCTGTTGGTGATGATCTAAAAAAGGAAACTTTCACCTTGTCAAAAGACTTGAGTAGTAAACATAACACAATTTGCTAAGCCAATTGTTCCAGTGGTTCCACCAGTTTAACACACAATGAAAGAAGTGCAATCCATTGGCGTTTAAGTGGTACACTGGTAAAATTATGCCACTAAGGTGTGTCCGAATAATCAAATGGTTGTTTTAGGATTTGATCTAAGTGGCTGAGCTTTATGGCTTGCCTAATAGTGAATCAGATTGGTGTTGCTCTGTGAGGGCTGGTGCTCTGTGCCTGTGAAAGATTGGGCAGCCGGGCCGCGATGGACCCCCACGGGGAGGCCAGACCTGGAGCAACTGCTCTCTCTCACACTCAGTCTTTCTCTCATGCTCCCTCTTGTTCTTCTACATTTGTTCCTATAGTAGTGCAACCTCTCCATCCTCTATCATTTTAAAGGAATGACTCACCCACAAATAAAAATACTGTCATCATTTACTAAAATCATGTCAATCTAAACCTGTATGATTGACTTTCTTCCGTGGAGCACAAAAGAAGACTGTTTAGAATTTTTTGATTAATGTTTTGAAGAATGAAAACTGGTTTTGTCTGTAGTATGAAAGTCAATAGAGTCTGAAAACAACACTGGACCCCACTGACCTTCACTGTATAGACAAAAAACAGATTGTATTCTGTATAATGATGACAATGTACACGTAAATGTACATTAAATGTACATTACATTACATTAAAGAAAAAACTGTTTCTTTAAACTCATTACTTGCAAACCATCAATTCACTAAATGACATAATCGATATTTAAACATTTAAATTGCTATAATAATAATGTAGGAGTTCCACTTTATAGTCCCTGCTGTGGGCGCCGAATCAGAATCAAATGATGCACAAGGCCAAGAAAGACATATATTCATATAGTACGTTCTGCTAAATACATTTCTGAACTCATGAGAGACTCGTCCAGTAAGACCATGAGTCCTCTATGGTCTTGGTTGTGAAATGAACAGTGCTGGCAGTGGGATATTGTTCTGCTGTCAGCAGAGAAACAGAAGACTCTCCGAGAGCGTATTATGTACTGTGGCACTTTTTGGATATTGAGCAGCGGGAAGCTGGCAATAGCTGCTAGCCAAAACAGGAGTATCATGACTCTGAATGCATAATGAAAGAAGCGGATATGGGAGAGAAAAAAAAATCTGTGATCATCTAACGAGTTCCATCTGATATTGGAAAGCGTGAGGGCTGTGTGTACACGCGTGTGTGTGTTGGATGCGTACGTTATGGTTACCGATACAACACACATGAACATCTGCAGGGCCCCCACACCTCTAGCGGGGAGGGCTGAAAAGCTGAGCGACCTCCTGCCCCCTGCCACACCACGCACATGCACAAGCCGCGCTCCTAAGCTTGCGTTCACACTCTCATCTTTGACATGTTACAGGAAGCCATAGCACCTAGCAGGGGGGCAACAACAGAATTCAGTGTAAGGTTGCACATCCATCCACCCCCGTCACAGACGCGCGCACACACACACGCACGCGCGTTCACGACTCGCTTTTATCAAATCCTGAAGCACCTGAAGGCTAGCGGCTCCTATGTGAGGAGGACCAGAAGGAAGAAAGAGCTGGCAAGGGCCGAGCTCGGATTAGAAAAAACACACTCTTACAAAAGCAGGAATGCCGAGGAGGGGACGGAGGCTCGGTGGGGGGTAATGGGGGGATTACAAGCAACCTGTGACTCTGCCTCTTTCTGCCCTTGCTGGTGGTAGTGGCTCTGTAAATGTGTGTGTGCGCAACTCGGCCTGCTCTCGGAGGCCTAGGTTGTTTGAGAAGCGCTCCTGCTGGGACCCAGCTGTGTCTGCAATTAGCAGTAGGGATGGAATGATGATGGTTGTTAGCGCTGATGTTAATGCAAAGTGACAGGCTGGTGGAGATGAAAACAGGAGAGCGGTGCCTCACTGTCTTCTTCGCGGGCCTCGAGAATCAAAATCAAGAAAATACCCCAAACAAAAAACACGAAAATCGAGTCCAACCTTTCTCCTGGCTTGCTATCTTTGCATCTTTGTCTGCACTAAATAGAGCCGTGTCTCTCAGGCCAGCGGGTCGTAGGGCACTCGTCCTTCTTGCTGGCCAGTGAGTGAATCGGGTCCCTTGCTGGGCCAGAGAGGGAGGCCCCGGGGCCGAGGGGTCTTTAAATCTGACTACAAGACATTATGCACTTAGGACAAAAGCTTGGGGTAATCCTACCTGCTTGCTGTTCACGGCTGCCAACGGCCCGTTATTGTACGCCTCATCCCTCCTGAGAGGAGGTCCATTGATGACTGAACTCAATTACCATGGTAACTCACACTGGTGACCCCACGCCTCCTGGCGCTTGCTATCTCTCCGCCGCGGGACCCCACGACCTTGCAGAAAAAAAGTTGTGTAGGAAATACGCTACCCCAAACGCGGTCCTCCAACGTGCTGCTGCGTTAACGTGCTCTCTCTCCAGAAATAGGTGCTTCTGAATGGCGGGATTGAAAATAAAATTTCAGGCTCAGCAAGCGAAAGGGCTTCAAACTGCTCGCGATTGTGTTGTGGATACAAAGAGAACCCTGCTCGGGATTTGCACGCCTCACCGGATCCTTAAGTGGAACAAGCCCTTACTGTTTCTGAGCAAGCTCTGCAACACTTTTAAGTGTCTATAATGCAGTTTTTTGTGCGCGAATGAAGGAATAACCTACTGAACGTAACGGCGTCTGGAGCAACTTCTTGGAACGATCGAGCCGATCAAAAAGTATAATTGCAGGCAATGCATTTCTGCTACTAGTGTTGTGCGTGACAGTGTCCAAACAGGGCCTTTCTTTAGAAAAGAAGGAGCTGGTAGAGATGAACTAAACGGCGGGAATTATAGCCTGTGATCGTGTCATTGAGTAAACACACAATGAAGAAAAAGGGGTGAGGGATAAGAAAAGGAACAGGAGAGAGAGAGAGAGAGAGAAAGAGTTTGGTCCCAGGGCAAAGTGAGCCATTCTGCTCACAAAGGAACGCTTAGGGGAGGATTGAGCCGAGCAGGAATGAGGAGCATAACACTTGTGGGGTTCGGCCTCAATGGGGGGAACGAAATGGAATAAACCAGCGAGCACTTGAGAGCCCCGCGGTGCACCTGAATGGCTAAGGGCCGGGAGGGGGGAGCGCAGAAGGTGAATGGGCTGCTTTTTGGGACCAATTTGTTTCTTTTCACCCTTTTCCCCTGCCTCTATGCTGACAGATGTACAAAGGCGGACCCGCGCTGAGCCTCTCGTATACATGAACCCGCTAGCAGATGTCACTTTTGTCAGACAAGTTAATCAAACAAATGCCACCAT